TATATATATATATATATAGAGAGAGAGAGAGAGAGAGAGAGAGAGAAAATAATGACTTTGTTTGTTTCTACACCGTGATTGGAGTCCATCTGGGGTAAAGTCAGCTGATTGGACATGATGTGGAAGGACACACACCTGTCTATATAAGTTCTCACAACTGACAATGCATATATATATATATATATAGAGAGAGAGAGAGAGAGAGAGAGAGAGAAAATAATGACTTTGTTTGTTTCTACACCGTGATTGGAGTCCATCTGGGGTAAAGTCAGCTGATTGGACATGATGTGGAAGGACACACACCTGTCTATATAAGTTCTCACAACTGACAATGCAGAGTAGAGCAGAAACCATGAGGAGGAAGGAGCTGCTGTAGAGCTCAGAGACAGGATTGTGTTGAGGCTCAGATCTGGGGAAGGACACACATTTCTGGAAGAAGTTTGGAACAAACAGGACTCTTCCTAGAGCTGCCTGCTTGGCAAAATGTACTAGTCACAGAGGAAGGGCCTGAATTTACCAAAGGTGGACTCCAATCAAGGTAGAGAAATATCTGAAATTCCTAAATGGTNTTCCCCCTTTGTTATTGTGTTTGGTTTTTTTTTTTAAAACAGCATTGGCATATTTCTGGCCTCAGATCTCATCAGTGGTGACCCAGCCAGTATTTTATTTAAGGTGACTGGCTGTTTGTTTCCCTCTAGTTGGTGAGAATAGCCAAGGTTCTGGGAACTGAAGACCTGTACGACTACATTGACAAGTACAACATTGAGCTGGAACCTCGCTTCAATGACATTCTGGGAAGGTGAGAGCTGTTACTGCAGTAACATGATGATGATGGTGTCATCATGACTGTGCAGGCTTTTGTTTTGTTACTATTCTTAGCATTTACATAGGAAAGGAAGAGCTACGATGCGTTCAGAAAGTGTTCACACCCCTTCACGTCTGTCACATATTGTTATGCGGCAGCCTGCTGCTAAAATCATCAGTTTACTCTCAACCCCCCATAATGACAAAGTGAAAACAGAATTTAGAATTCTTTGCAAATTTATGAAAAAGGAAAAAGTGAAATATGCCATTGACATAAATATTCAGACCCCTTGCTTTGATACTTGAAATTTCACATTCCTTCCAGTTCTCTTGCTTTGTTGGTTTGATTGTCACATTTGTCTTTCTAAAAGACTCCGCTTCCTTCTTTCTAAATTGATTTGAGAATTCAGAGTTTTTTATTTTGCTTTTTCCATACAGGCATTCACGTAAGCGGTGGGAGAGGTTCGTCCACAGTGAGAACCAGCACTTGGTCAGCCCCGAGGCTCTGGATTTCTTGGACAAGCTGCTGCGCTATGACCACCAAGCCCGGCTGACCGCCCATGAGGCCATGGATCACCCTTACTTCTGTGAGCCCTCATAAACACCCTGTGGTTATGATTATAAGAATGTAATCAAAATCAGTGATGGCAAAGACAGAATAAGTGATTTATTTATATTTGTTGTCCCCACAGTCCCCATTGTGAAAGATCAGTCTCGTGTGGCCGGATCAGCCAACTTGCCCAGTGGGAATACAGCTGTTAGCACAGCCAGCATGATCACTGGTGAGAACACACGTACATGACAAATTTATTATTCTGCAACAATATCTTCTAGATAAAAGATTGTAGTATTGATAAGCTCCAACATCATCGATTCTGCTCTCGGTATTGGAGAAATTTAGATTTCCCATTTTTTATTCCTGCATAAAAGTTCTCTCGCACATTTTATCTCACCAACTCTGTTTCTGATTAAGACATTCGTCCATGAATGATGCATTTTCACTGTTCCCAACGCAGAGGAAGAGACCTCTTTCTCAGAACCTGTATGTGTGAGGGGCGGGGGCAGCTCTGTGTCTCATGCTGGAGCACTGTGCAGCACAAACACAGAGACCCTGCTCTTTGTGACAATGGAGAAAACTAAACTTATAAAATAACAAATTACCAATAAGAGAACTGTTAAAGTACTGGATCAATAAGCAGTATCGTAAAAGTAGTATTCCCTCTTCCTTTCAATATATTGGTTGACAGGTGTAATTGTGTAATTCCTCAGGTTTCTGCATTAGCCTGCATTAAATTCTTGTAAAGCTGTTGCTGCCAGTTTTTCTGCACTGTCAGATCTCAATGAATCAGCGCCCTAATCAATAGGAATAATGGTCAAAACTATGTATAGGAGGTAGAGGAAAAAAAAACTAAAATTTCCAACAAGAAATAAAAAATTCATGTTAGAGCTTGGTGATCACTATTAACTGTCATAATTACCCCCATAGTGATAAATGAAACTTCCTTTAAATGCTGTTAAACATATGTTTAATTAAACACTGGGAAATGGAACATTTCAACATGTATAACATGCAAGTTGAAAAGTGCAGGGTGCAATGTTTCTTATAAACCTCACATAATTTTTATATAAATAAAATGAATTAATAACTTTCTTGTAAAAATGAATAAAGTAAACAAATAAAACGTAAATTAAAATGTAATTATTCTATATCTCCAGTAACTCTTCACCACTCCTAATTTAACAGCACTGGGTTGTGGTGCACTGTGAGATGCTCACATGGTATGGAGGAGGGTGATGAGCGGAGATATTTTCTGGTTTGTGAAACATGTAACTAGAAGAGTGATTCATTTTGTCTCTACCATTGCAGTGCACCCTAACACACGTTCATGTGACCTGCTAGATAGCGCATTTAGTTGTGGGCAAAAAGGCAGTAGTGTTGTTTCATTCACAATGGAGGTGAAAGCTTTATTGCTAGCAAAGTTGAGGTTAGAATTGATAAACCTAGTAATGCAACCTCCATTGTGACAATCATCAGCTATATGAAGGTTATAATGTTCAGTTTGTAATAAAATTGTTTTAGTCAGTTGTTGATTTATCTGTATGATCATTATGGAGGATGTAGTGTGTGTGTGTAGCTGTATTATATCATACAAAGGTGTTTCTGTTATCAAGCCCACTTTCACTGATATAATAGAGTGGACAACATAATAGAAACACCTGGATGCCACGTTGAGTGTCCTTATATGGCAGCAGTTTTGTGTTGGCATATTGGCTCCAAATATTGTTTATCAGTCTCCTTGATTACCAATAATCGGTATTGGCCCTGAAAAAACATTTCAGTAGATCCCTAATATACATATATATGTATATATTGTCTGAGCAATGTTTCTTATGCTGATAGCTGACAGCTGAAAAATGCTAGTTGTTTGCCCCATATTAAATATCAAGACTATTCAAGTGTGAGTGCTGCATTTCCTTTACCTCAATGAACAGAACATTAGTGTTGGGTATCTTTGCTGTAAAAAAGTGCTTTGTATGGGGACTGGGTGGAAGAGATAAGTGACACATTTATTAAATAGTGGTTCCTGCTCAGAAATGAGCATACAGTGTGTTGTGCTAGTTTTCTAATGGTCTCTCTGGCTCTCATTTTTCAGGTATCTCTGCCTTGCCAGCCTCCACTGCCCTAGGCCCTCTCATTGGCACGCCGGTCCTGTCTGCTGCCACCAATGCCCTAAGCACCCCGGTGCCCGCTGCTGCTGGTGCCCCACAGTGACACCCCATCTAAATCCTCATCTCTCCCATCTCCACCACCACCACCACCACCACCACCACCACCCAGCTCGGGTGAAGAACTAGACAGGTGCCATTCTGCCAGCCCTCACCACATCCTGTCTAACTCAGTGTGCCCCTGGCTGGAGGACACTGTCGTCAAAGAAAAAAAAAAGTTTCTGCATTCCTTTCCTTCCTTGAATGAACGTGTTTACCTGACATCTGAAATGAATGTTCTGTGTAACTGAAATATACAGGTAATCCCTCCATTTTCTCACAAGCTGTAGTGATTACATGGGTGTGTGTTTGTGTGGTGAGTCTGAGAGCGAGTGTTGTCCATGGCGGATTTGGGTCTCAGGACCCGCCCAGCCCCACCCTGTGTTTTAGTTTGGACAGTGAAGGCACTGGTCAATAAGTACATCAACAGAAGGCAAAAGAAAAAAG